CGGGGGGGGCGGCTTGTTTTACAACGTCGTTGCCAAGCGACGAAAACCCAACCCCGATGGCAAACACCGGGAGGGGCGGCTTGTTTTACAACGTCGTTGCCAAGCGACGAAAACCCAACCCCGATGGTTAACACCGGGGGGGTGTAGGGGGGGGTAGGATTTTTCACCATTCGACCCCCCCATAAAATGTGCTGCAGCACCTGTAGATCCTGGATCATCAACAGCGGTCTGCGGCAGCCGCACACTTCGTGTGGGTGTATGGAAAGATTCATTCCATCTGCTAGCGGTTCGTGTGCTGCCGGCTTGAAGCCATGCGGCGAACTCACATGCCAGTTCAAATCTGCACTGGTGTCACTGGTCTCGTGAGGTTGAATTTGGCGTTTGTGTTGTGTTGTGCCTCGTTTTGACCTTTTTGGGAGGCGCGGTGTCCTCTTTGTCGCTGTGCTTTCCCGACATTTTTGGTCTCTGTGTTTCTGCGTTACCTACGTTTTCCTAGTGTCGTTTTACAACCTTCGATATTTCTCAGGTGCGGTAGCGAGATCTTGGGCAAGATATTCACGGGGAGGACAACGCCTAAAAAAAAAAAATTACGCAAGTAATTAAGCCCATATCAACACCAGCGCACTACCGTCGTGTACATGTACGATACGTAGGTCGTAGAACACCATCGCTTTCAGCGTTTTGGTGGTACAGTACGGGGAAATTCAAACGATGGTATGCAAGTATGTATTGCAGCACAACAGCAGCGGTGGTTACGACCTTCAAATGACCTTATGTCGCAGGTTTCAAACAACACCTCTTGTGGTCGCCTTTCTGCTGCAAATGCGCACCTTTTGGCATGCAGACGTTTCGCCTTCATTGGCCCCGGGGATGGTGCCTTAGTGGCCCCGGAATTCTAAAGACACTTACTTCCCCGCTTTGAAGACACTTTTTTTTTGGGGGGGGGGGGAACGTGGTGTGTCTTGAAAGCGGGGTCGACTGCATGTGCAAGCGAAGCGCGCGCTAGGTTCCCGCAAAAATTGAAGCGATATCCGCTATTGGTGGCTGAAAACATGTCCAATAACCCCTACTGAGGGCACGACCGGTTTTGCGGTTGTACAACCGCTAAACCGGGGTGCAGCCGTGTCACGAGATTTTATAACCGCTGTTCAGGGCATGCCGCTAAACAGGGAAGGGACCACGACAGTAGGCAGAGATGGTGGGCGGGCAGTTTCGCCCAAGGGAGGCGGGGGGACCAGCGGCAGCGACGGGCGCTCCCGGGGCGGGAGTGATTGCTGCAGCTGTCGCAGCGGGGGTAGTGGTCGGCGTGGGTGGTCTTATGGCCGTCCTGTGGTGGCGGGAACGAGTCTCGAAGGCGCCAGGAACAGCAGGTAGACCCATATGGCGGGATGTAGCGGAACGCGGGTATATAATAACGGCGAATTTTTTCGCCCGGTAGCAGCAGTGGTGTCAAGCATTGTCGTGTGTTCTGGTTTTAGTCGGGGGGGGGGGGCGGTATACCGCGGGGTCCGAAAGTCCAGCGTATACATTATGTAGTCAGTGTAGTTGCCTTGAAAACTGCTTTGTGCTTGTAGCGTGAAGCATCTGACGACAGGAACCTCTTGGCGGCTTTGCTTCTTACCCCCCCGATACCATAATTTTTTTTATGGGAGAAGATGTCGTCCTTCATGCTACAGTACTTCGATTGTCAGGATTATATTTACTCACACACACGTTTTCCCTGCCAACCCCAAGGAGATATTATCATCAAGAGGTATCCGTCCGTCCCCCCCCCCCCCCCCCCCCCCCCCCCCCCCNCCCCCCCCCCCCCCCCCCCCCCCCACGGGTCCCCTCACACCTCGTCTCTACCCCATCCTGACGCTCATCTCTCTCGCGACGGACGGCAGCAGCAGCGGTGGCGGACAGCAGTGCGGCTTGGCGTGTTGAGACCGGCGATGGGCTGTCTCGCCCGCAAACTGACGGGCCGGGAGGGGTTGTTGCGGCCGGGAAGCGTCTGCCCGCGGGGTCGTGGCACGAAGCCGACATGACGCCACCCCTCCCCGACGATGTGCGTGTCTCTCGCGCCCGCTGGGCTTTGCTCGCATCTCCTCCTCGGCGCGCTCCACGTCGTCTCTGGCTTTCGATGTGGTCCTTATCAGCGCGACTCTTTCTGCGCTCGATTTGGTTCGGCTTGTTTCTTTTCCGACTGCTCAGGGCGAATCTTGTCGTCGGTGCTTTTGGAGACAGCGGTAGCCATGAATAACGTAAGGATTCGAGAGATTGCCCGGGTTCGCGGACGTTCACTTGCAAGGGATGATGACACCAACGCGTGTATTTGCGGTGCACCTTTGGGTTAATACAGCTATTTTTAGGTGCCATGGCAACCCTGGGTCTGCTGTATCCTAGTCGGGGGCCGCACGCACCTTCTTAGAACCCCATTTTGTTTTTGGCCCTTCTTTCGCGGCAGGTGGTAAGACTGCTGCAGGCCTCGCGGCTGTGCTTCTTGTCCACCTTCAGCGACGACCACCCTCACCTGTCGCTCATGAACTTCACCTACCATCACGGTAAGCGAACGTTGCCTTTTTGCTCATGTCCCAATGGAATTTTTGCCATCGGAAGAGTTTATATTTGTCTGTTTTGCGGGGTTTTCTCTCTGCCGCGCTTGCTGTTTTCATTGCTGTTCACGGGTACACTTGGGACGTTGCCAGTATCACTGCATGAGCCTGCTTCGGGCAAGAGTTTTGTTGTTNGAAAGAAAGACCAGCTACCGCACCAAACGAGAAAGAGCGTCGAGGAGACCGATCAAAATAAAATAAAAGGAGAACGGGGAACGCTTCCCACACCCGCCTACAACGCCGGAGGGTTCCGTGCCGGGTTCCCGCCGACCAGGCATCAAGTGTTTTGCGGCGAAGCGAGTGAAGCATCGGAACGGTGCGAGTGAGCGGTATCAACGCGTCGCGATGCAGGCACATTCAAGAAGCAACACTTGGGGCTGAGAAAACGAACGCACCGTGAGCATCAACGCTTCTCTACGTACCCGCGACCGTTTTACGTGCTGAAGGTGGTCGTGCCCGCACGATGTTTCTGTTGTCGTGCATTGCAAGACCCACGTCGTTGCAGACGGGCTGCGGTTCAAGCTCCTCGCGACAGGAGGAACCGGTGGCATGATCTCTCCATCCTTGACCACAAACATTTCCCCCGTTTCAGTTTCTGAAAAAAATGTCATTCGCGTGATTCGTCGCTGCCCCTCCGGGCGATTATTGTTGTTAGCACTGCATCCTTGCGCTCCGCCGCTCTCCTGCCCCCGTGCCTCCTCCGCTGAAGCTACTACTACTGCCACCCCGATTGCTACCTCTGGCACTACCGACCACCCGTTTCTTTCTCTTTATTTTTGTTCCGTTTTCGGCCTCCGTGAAACAACATACTGGTACATGTGCTACGAAACGACCCCAGCCGACGAGGTGATCATTCTGTCCACGCGACGAGACACCAAAAAGTACCAGCTGGTGCGGACGGTAAGTAGGTGACTCGGGTGGGCGCTGTCTTGCCGCTGCGGCTTCCTTTCTTCTTGGCGCTGCGGCTTCCTTTCTGCTTTGATTTTTTCTGGTGTCGTGTGAGAACTGCTTCAGATCGCCTTGTTTTTCTCAGGTCGCACCGCTCAGGACTCTGATGCCGTGTCGATCACGCCCCAGACTTGGTTCATGCGCGGGTCACGTGTAGGATAATGTGGGGGACAAACGTACCATTATTTTTCGGTATCGATGGGCCACTTCTCGGAGTGCTGATCTAACGCCACATTCATTCCGCTCGACCCTCTCGTCATTCCGCGCTTTTTTAGTGGGTTTCAAGCGCACCTCCTCCGTGTGGAGCTGGCGGAGGTAGCTCTTACTCGAATTTCTCTGTCCGCCGTCCGGTGTTAGCTAGCCCCCCGCTGTCGTTTTGCCTCCTTCCTCCAGTGATCTTGGTCCCCTTTCTCTGTGTGTCTCTCTCTCTCTCTCTCTCTCTCTCTCTCTCTCTCTCTCTCTCGGAGCAGGGGCGTAACGTAGCACTCTTGGTTCACGAGTTCCCCGACGCAGGGGGCAGCTCCGGCGGTGGCGGCGGCGGCGGTAGCTGTAGCAAGGTGACCATCACACTCAACGGGACAGCAACGATTCAGGTGAGGACAGGGCCACTGGAGGAACGAAGGGCGGGGAGATGGAAGAATTTTGGGGAGGGGGCTTCGGGGGGCGGCGTTAACGCGGCGAGAGCAGTCGTGTGGTATCCAGTATCGAAGCTTCATATTGTGTGCCGAGAGACAGCTGTAAAGGAGAGGTACACAGAGAGCCGTTCTCTCGTCAATTTGACGCACGTGTTCTCCTAATCAATATTTTACAGACATTTTTCCAACGGTTGCAACCCGGAGAGCGAAGGGGCCCTTCATGGTGATATCTGTGACTGCTTCTGTCGTTTTTGTGTCGCCGTCTGTTGCTTGAAAGTCGCCCTCTGGTGCGTGAGTCGCCGCCGCCTTAGCACCCCCTGTCCCCCTTCTCTGGCTTGGGTCTGTCGTGCTTCATCATGATGTCGCTCTCTAGGAAGGGGAGCAGGCAGAGCAGTACAGAGACCTACACGTCAGGAAAAACCCCGACTCAAAGACCTTCATCGTCGGTGAGACGCACTCCAGTTCGCGGATTTGATGTTGGCGACTATTTTCTCTTGCCGCTAGCAAGGCTGCTTGTCCCCCAACCGGCCGCCTGAGGTCGGGACTTGAGCGTCACCTGCTTGCGGTGGTTTTTGGGAAAAATTTCCGATCGCCAAAAGTGTTTGTTTTTCTGCTGAAGGCTGCGAAATATGGTTGTCATGCCATTAGACTTCAATCATAGCTATCAATTTCAGTACAGCGTATCGTTTAGCCACTTTGTTGTTTCGCTCGCACATTGGCCCGCCAATCCTTCCTTTCCAGCTCCTAGTTTTGGCAGTCAAATGACATCGTGGCTATTTCATTTCGACTCTTTTATTTCAACTCTCATTGATGGTCGGTCCAACGCTCTGTCTTGTCGTCCTTACCACCCACCGGTGGCGACAGGCCCCAACATCGCCATCATCACCGTAAGGGTGCGCTCCGCCCGGATCTGCAACGTTCGCGACGAGGTCACCGTGTGGAACGTCGCCGACTCCCAGCCAAGCGCGTAGCGTTGCAAGCACTGTTGTGGTTGGTTCCTTCCAGCCGTGCAGTATTGTAGCCCCCGGGGGCGGGTGGTGATGGTCCCCAGACCCTTCGGAGGCTGTCTGTGCCTTGCTCGACGCGCGTGCTGGTTGTCACGGCAACCAATGTTCCGGCTGTGGTGAAAAGGGGCTTGGATTTCAAGGCACCCAGGATGACTTCGAGTGCTCAGACTGTAGCCAATGGGCAGCTAGAATTTAGTGGCACCCAGGACGGCTCTAGTCCAGCGTCGTGATACGCATTTGGTTGTTCTTGTTCTTGCTGTTGTGTGGGCGCTTGCTGGACGGGCACGGGAAGGACGTCAATGCGACAGACTCGCATGCTTCTTGCTTGTCCAGCGGCTGCTGTCGAAGCTTTGGTGCGAATGCAATCGCTCGCTCCCGTCCTCGTGAGGCTTGGAAGGGGAAATCACGGGGCCCCGTGTCAGAGGCGCGGGACTATCATCATCATACGCTGGTTTATTTCACTTGTTTTTTCCTGTGTCGCTTCTATTTCGAACAGACTACTGGTGTGAAGATTAAGAAGTGGCAAATTTTGCTTTAGAACGAAGAAGACGTTTCATGCCGCACGCGACTTGGACCGCGGGGTGGTAGCGCTTCGCCAGCCGTAAGGCCAGCGGCCACCCAATTAGATTCGTTCGGCTGGTCGTGCAGGCGTTCTTTCTTGGTGAGTGTCTGTGCGTGTTGTGATTTTACACGGTGCGGTAGACGGAGATTTTTCATAGTGTCCATGCTGGGAAGTCGATAGAATGGTGGAGCCGATGATCGTCGGTGTAGCTGCCCTAGGGATGCAACTGCCCGTGGCCGTCCTAAATAAATATCTTGCCGCCCATAGAACTGGGGCGTGAATGACGTCCTCTTTATTGTCGGCAGTGCTTTTCTGCGTTGGTGGCCCTACTTTTATTTTTTTTGCTGTAGGCGGTGGTTTGGTCAATCCCACGTTTGGTAGTATGCCGCGCCCGAGAAAAACTGCCCCCTTGCAGGCTTTAGGACAGGTTGGTATTGCAGGATGCTGCAGGGAGAGCGGACGGCGCGTTGCGGAAAGCGCGCTAGACTAGAATCAACGTTATCGTTTTGTTGCGCGCCAGAAATAGCGTCGGTATGAGGTGTTGGACGGAAAGTTGTAAGCAATTTAACAACAAAATACGCGGAGGCTTTTGCTTCCAAGCACTTTCTCAAGCGTTCGATGGCTGTCTGTTTGTCAGATGAACGCCCACACATACCCACCTTGCCCCCGTCCTCAAAGAAGTGTTTTCGTTGCACTTCTCTGGGGTCTGAGGCAGTCCCTGGTATGAGTTTTTTTTTTTTTGTGATTTTATTTCATCGGGTTCGCTACAGTACTGCCACCTTGTCGCCGGATGGCGGACACGTGGTGTCCAATGTCGGAGGTCGATTTCCAACAATCGGCCTCCCCAAGCACCAAACCACTCCACACGGAGAGAGGTTGAAATGTATTCACAACACATACATGGTGGAGGTGAGCGATCAGGTCAGACGTTCGCGAGAGTTGCCAGAAAAAATATCGATGAAGGAGACTTCTGCAACCCAAGCTTTGAGGGAGCTGTGCCCGTGGGTTACACGACGTTTCCCGAAAAGGACAAGGAAGGAAGGAGACCACGTGATCGCGACAGCAACACTAGTTCGATGAGCGTACACCACGCCCCCAAACCCCTCCAAAGACAGGCATGCCTTCGAAAAAAACGGGCCAGCTAAGAAAATCAGATCAGCAACGCGCCCACCAGAAGAGCAAAAAGGCGATCGCACGACACTACAGTAGCAAAGGAAAGTATTCACCCCGACGCACTCTGAGCCCCCAAAAGAATATCACTTCCAAAAGGATTAGATTTTATGTACCCTCGCACCCAAGCAAAACCGTGAAGGAGTACGCGTTTACTATCTCTCTCCCTTGCTTCCACTCATTCGTCCCACCAGTGTGGAAACCTGCTCTCCGTCCCAGCGATCAACGTAAATACGGTTGTTAAACACCAACGCGTCAATCGTAGTAATCGTGTCGAACGGAAGAGTGCGACGAGATCACTCCATACCCCTGCAAGACACCGACCTTGTCCTCTCAAACGGTTTCTTCACGGGTGACCACGCACGCTTCAGGACCAACTGAGAGGTGGGGGGCTGCACACAAGCATGAACGACGAAGATGGCAGCAGGGAGGGAGGGGGGTGTCAACAATGTGCAGCGCCTTGAGACCACTGAAAATCCTACGGTTGTGCGTGAGACTAGTTTACTTCCTTCGGGCGGTGTTAAGGTGAGCCTCAAGGGCATCTACCTGTTACAATGTCCTCCTGTGTGTTGCCTTGCTAACCTTCATTGCCGCGACAAAAAACAAACTCGGGGTGAGTAACGCGAGCTCTCCAGGGCGGTAGCCTTAGAAACAATTGCATATCACAGCACATGATCACCGCAGCAGAGGAACACTGCTAGTGCAAGAGCAATACCAGGCGGCCAAACTGCGGCACCCCTGCGTAGCTCACCTTATCGGGGCGGCGAGGGCGGGGACGAAGTGGGGGCTCAGGTCAGGTCGGCGATCTTGTCTTTCAGCTCCGCGGCAACCTCCAGCCACCATCCCCTGAGACAGAACTAATGAGACGGATAACGGTGGAGGCAGGCGGCATTAGACAGCTCCTCACGAACAGTTTCCGCGTGCTCAGCGGCGCGGCGTGTCAGGCTGCCCTATGCCATTTCACAACGCTATGCACGGCAAGGGCGGTAGGGGTTGAGAGTTTTAGCACACGCTATTGACGCGGTCACAATCCCTCGGAAGAGTGATACTCCAGTTGTTTTGGGTTGAGAGAGGTAAGCCTCCTGCGAGAGGTAAGCCTCCTGTCTGAGCCTCTACTGCAACATTGGCATGTTGATGGAATACTGTATCGAGGTATCCTCGCTCGAGATAAGCACCAATTTACTCGACCGCAAGGCGCCCACGGGTGGAACCTTTTCAACATCGTTCGCACAGTCATACCCATGCTAAGCATCGTGCCAATCAACAACGCGCGCTTACCTGCTTCTCGATATTTCTTTCACAGGTGGAGGCGATGGCGGCGCCCGGGCATGGCCAAACGTCACCACCAAAGAGAGCTTGGTGAAAGAAGGCCGAGAAAGGAGAGTCCGTGTCAGCTTGCAACGTAGGAAGGAAGACGGGGTCCTGCATCGGGGCAATTCATTGATGCTCTCCTCTCCGGCGAACGGCTTCAAATCTCGGTTGTACGACGGCATGGCCCTCAAAGAAAGCAGAAGGGGCAGCAGGGCGGGGGGGGACAGCACTAGATATTGAGCGCCCGACAGTTTCATCTTGTGGACCATGTGTAGTTTGCGTCGGAGATAGGGCCGATGCCTCGTGCGAACCGCGCTACGTCCGCATGCAGCACCCACGATTGCCGTGTACCGCCAATATCCATTAGGCACAGCCGTGAATGTACTTCGACCAACGCCATACGCAGCATCACGAGCGGCAGCTGCGAGGGAGTGACGCGTGCGTTGTGCCTACCTCTTACTAGCAGCGACAGCACCAGCGCGTCGTCATCGTCGTGCTCTACTGCAGCAGCAACAGCAGAGGGCGCCTTCCGGGATATGCCGGGGAGGGGTTGAGATTGATAATGTTGCCAAACCACCTAAGCTCTGAAAATTCAGTTGTGGGTTGCTCTCGGTGTGTAGATGCGATATTCGGTCTCAGATTTTTAATCCGGGGTTGGGAAGGTGGGTTTTCAGCGAAACTTGGTGATTTGTCTTACTCAATGTATAGGGACACGCAAATCAGGGGACACGAACTTTCTGTCCCCCCCCGGGGACAAAACGGGGATTTGCCCATATC